CTCATCGGTGCTGTTACTCGGTCAACTTCTTGGAGGGCCCCTGAACTATCAAAAGCCACATAATAAACAATATAACAGGAAAGATGGTTACTGCTTCCTAATTCAAAATGACCGGCGCCTTCAAAATTTCCCTTATATATCTTACACAATGCACTTTATTTTTCGAAGCAGCGGTTTTGAAAGTCATTCTTCAGTGGTGTGGTGAAGGAAAATGACAAAAACATAGCCCTTCATAAACCACCAGCTGTGAAGACAATTTTTAAAAAAATGCCCAGCTAGAAGACCCCCTCCAGCTTCGACTATTTCAGAGTTTTTATTACTTTTATTATTTCTTCCTCTTTGATTGAAAATAAATGAATCTTGGCCAGCGAGAAGGAAAAAAAACAGGTTTTTTAATAAATAAAACGCCTACACAACTTGCCTAGACTTGTTGTGAGCGCTTTTTAAGTCACTGAACTTGGATATAATCTCTCTTCTCTTTACCTAAAGCCATCGCTAGGTAGTCAGCATTTTATCCCCTAACTAACCTATATAAAATCTTCTTCTGATTTCTTGTGATTTTTGGATAAGCGAATTCTTTTAAGGACTTTGCATTAAGAATTTGGGAAGTGTCTTGTGCTGTATTCCTACATCATTATTACAATCATAAAGAATATCAATATAGGAAAGTTTAACGGAGTGTGGCTTTTAGTGTAGGGTTTGATTGTTTTTGAGCCTGTAATTTAATATAATATCACACCATTCTGCCTCTATTTCTTTCCACAGAGTGGTTTCTTTAAATAAATGGATATAAACCAGACAGTCTTTTCCATATAATTGCTTTTGCTGGCTGGGGAATTCTGGGAGTTGAAGTTTCTTAAAGTTGCGAAAATTGAGATACATTAAAGCTTAAAATATCAATCTCGTGCTATTTTTCTTAAGAGTACAAGGTGTTCTGAAGAATCTAGGAGAAATATACAAAAAAAAACCCACACCCTTTTTAACGTTTTAACATATTTGACAAAAAGACTGCTTTACAAAAAAAAAGTGCCGTGTTTATTGAATATGCTGTAAAAAGCCTTATATAAATATTTATAATGCCTTCTATTGTAACTTTTTGCAAACCACAACTACGGAATTTATTTTTTTCTTTAAAAAAAAAAGGAAAGGTACAGTGGCCATTCGAATCCCAACACTTTTGAAACGAAATCGACCTCAAACAAGTCAGATACAACCTTGTTGAAATGTTCAGAGAAAATTAGAATAATCTTGAAGAACCAATGAATGGCCCAGGAATTGATGGGTACGTTGTTAAAAGAGGGAAACAAATCCTGCAAACAAAAATATAAATATAAAACTCATCATTAGATTTGGACAGCTTTTAATGAGTTTCCGGCCAGTAGTGGCTGCAAGGGAGCAGAATGACAAAATTAATATTGTCCTGTAAGCCCCGCCCCATTTCTGTATGTGTCATGATGTCACTCAACACACCCAGAAGGGGTGGGGCTTTCAGGAAGCTTCTGTAGATGTGCCCCACTAATGTTGTAGAACCTCATCTTGTACATCCCCCCCAAATAATCTCAGCAAGCAATACCCTTATTAAAATTACCAGCAAATCTCTTTGAAGAACAATTGTGGTATCCAAACCTTCTCTATTGGCCATCATCTATGAAAACTACTTGCTGATCTAGATTGCAAGATGTAGATCAGGGGTAGTCAACCTTGGCTCTTTTATGACTCGTGGACTTCAATTCCCAGAATTCCTGAGCCAGCTTAGCTGGCTCAGGAATTCTGGGAGTTGAAGTCCACGAGTCATAAAAGAGCCAAGGTTGACTACCCCTGATGTAAATCAAGACCAGTCTAGATAACGGGCCCTTGGTCAGCCACCTTATCCATCTGGAGTAAAACTGACATCATAAAGTCAATCCTTTGGTGTGATCCACTAATGTTCAATGTTCCTCAGAGCTCTTCATTAGGGCATCCCATAAGCCTGGCCTTCCTCAACCTCAAATTTAAATTCAGATTCCTCAAATTTCAAACAGGGTCTAATTCTCTAGCAAACCAGATCACCAGGGCAATTTCCCAGTCGTTATTCCCAGGATAAATCCCAAGGACTGGCAATTCTGGTTCGCTTCTGGATGTCCCAAAGATGCTTTTTCCAAAAGGCAACTGGACTTTCTTGGTGGGTTTTTTTTTTGTCTTTGAAAACATTTGGCTTCTCATCCAAGAAGCTTCTTCAGTTCTTCAACTGAACTGAACTTCGGGAACTGAAGAAGCTTTTTGGATGAGGAGCGAAACGTATTCAAGGAAAAACAAAGGAAGCCCAGTTACCTTTTTTGGGGGGGGGAAATCACTTTTGGCACAACCGTGACCTAGATCAGGGGTAGGCAACCTTGGCTCTTTTATGACTCGTGGACTTCAACTCCCAGAATTCCTGAGCCAGCATGGCTTAGCTTGACAACCTCTCCCTTTCCCCTCAGCATGGCTGGCTCAGGAATTCTGGGAGTTGAAGTCCACGAGTCATAAAAGAGCCGAGGTTGCCTACCCCTGACCTAGGTGACTGAGAATCTCCATAGATGTTTACGCTGGACCATCTCCACATAAACTCGCTTGCTTTACAGTATTTCTTGTCCTGCTGCCCTTGGAATCAATGGTTCTACAATTCAAGTAGGAACATGAAAAATCCAGAAAATTAGAACATGAGGGGAAACCAGCTAGCCTTTATAAAACCTTGTGCTTGTTGTCTACATGGAACAGCTACTCTATTTCCCCCCCCTTCCTTTAACTTGGAAAACACTGCCCTTCCGAAGCAAATACACTTGTTAAAGGTCTGCCCCATATGTCCTTCTGATTTCTGGATTCTTTTCTTTTCTAGTTTAATGAAAAGAAGGACTAGGGGTGACCAAACGTGGAAGGTTGTATCCAATTTTAGTCGCCACACTATAAATAAGAATGTTATGCTCTAGAAAGAGCACAGAGAAGAGCAACAAAGATGATCGGGGGACTGGAGGATAAAACATATGAAGAACGGTTGCAGAAATTGGGTATGTCTAGTTTAATGAAAAGAAGGACTAAGGGGGGACATGATAGTAGTATTCCAGTTATTTGAGAGGCTGCCACAAAGAAGAGGGAGTCAAACTATTCCCCAAAGCACCAAAAGGGAGGATAAGAAGTAATGGATGGAAACCCATCAAGGAAAGAAGCAACCTAGAACTAAGGAGAAACTTCCTAACAGTGAGAACAATTAACCAGTGGAATGACTTACTTCCAGAACACACTTGGAGATTTTCAAGAAGAGACTGGTCAGCCACTTGTCCGGAATGTATAGGGTCTCCTGCTTGAGTGGGGGGGGTTGGACTAGAAGACCTCCAAGGTCCCTTCCAGCTCTGTTATTCTGTTATCCTCTTTAACTCAAACTCCCCATAGAAAAATAAATTAATCAAAGACAGTATTCGAACCACCCTCGCTTCCCTAACCCAGCAATTGGCAAGATTTTAATTCAGAAGAACTCGACAAGTTAAAAAAAAAGGGGGTGGGGGGAGAAACGGTTTTATCCTTTTTTTAGTACTCATTTTTTTTAAAAAAGTAAACCACCTCATCATTCTGGAAAAAAAGGAAACAAAACAGAATCGGTCAAGCTATTTCAGGATCTTTGGTACTCAAGAGGAGAACAAAATGGCACAAAGCATCACAGCGATGTTAAATTCAGAAGGAAAGGAAACAAGCAAAAAATAATAATAAGATTGAGCTAAATGCTGAATTTATGCCGGATTTTTTTTTTCTCTTTGTCCTAGATCAGGGGTAGGCAACCTTGGCTCTTTTATGACTCGTGGACTTCAACTCCCAGAATTCCTGAGCCAGCATGGGGGAAATATGGCCCCCTCATGACTCGTGGACTTCAACTCCCAGAATTCCTGAGCCAGCCATGCTGAGGGGAAAGGGAGAGGTTTCCAAGCTGAGCCATGCTGGCTCAGGAATTCTGGGAGTTGAAGTCCACCAGTCATAAAAGAGCCGAGGTTGCCTACCCCTGCCCTAGATGTTTCCAGCGGTTAAGATGAAAGCTGTCACTCACTTTTATTTGATAAAAGCGGCGTCTAAGTTCTGAAAACAGGTAAATGCTCACTTTTCGGTTAATCCAGTTCTATGCCAGTTTGTCTACTAATTACAATCGGAAGTAGTAACTTCTCTCTAGTGTTAAAACTAGGAGCCCTGAGCGAGAGCAGGAAGCCAGCAAGTGTGGCAAATAACCTTTAAAAATAGCTAGTTTAAGTAACTCTACGACAGCTTCTTAAGTCACCGTCCTTCCTCTGCGGGGAACCACGTTATCAAACGTGGTTTCCGAGTCTTTTCGTTTTTCAAACAGGTAGTCCTCGACTTACGACCACAACTGAGCCCAACATTTCTGTCGTTGAGTGAGACAGTTGTTCAGGGAGTGCTGTCACCCCGTTGTACAACCTTCTTCGCCACCGTCCTTAAGAGAATCGCAGCAGTTGTTAAGTTGGTAACCCGGTTGTGAAGTGAATCCGGCTTCCCCATTGACTTTGCTCGTCAGAAGGACCCAAAAGGGGATCACTGCAACCGTCATAAGTACATGCCAGTTGCCAAGCAATCCGAATTTTGAACACGTGACCCCGGGAATGCTGCGACGGTCGCAAGTGTGAAAAATAAATCATCAGTCATTTTTTTCAGTGCCGTTGCAACTTTGAATGGTCTCTAAAGGAACTGTTGTAAGTCGAGGACCACCTGTGCTTTCCTACCTAAAAACCTGCCCAGGTAAATACCCAAACGCAGCTACCTTGTTGAGAAACGGACAAGGTCGCTTCTTACACCGACATGATCTTTTTAACACTTGGGCAAACTGCACATAGTTTGAACCATGAACCGAATGTCCTTAAGAGGCAGAATTGACCATTTTAAACACACATTTCGGCAGTGCAGATAACAAAGAGGACGTCGGTCGCTTGTTCTTTTCTCTCTCTCTTTCTCTCTCTCTTTCTTTTTTTTTTCTTAAAATTTCCAGTACCTCTGTCGTAATAAAGTTAACAAAAATATTCACTATTAAAAGAAGCCGCCAGCTGGCACTGCCAACTCATTGTCTGTAGTAGTCTCAGAAATCCTAATCCCGTAGAATTCCTTAATTTCTGGGCCGGGTCCGCAGGCGCCGGTCTGTGGGAGCGTCGGAGAGGGTGGCGATCGAGCGGAGGTGGACAGGGTACCTGAGTTCTTACGTTTCCTGGCTCCGCCGCATCTCACAATTTCCCTGCCTTCATGTAAGAAGGGATGGAGCCCCGCTGAGTCAGCCCTTCGAATCTCTTGTAGGTGTAATTCAGGAAAACCCAGTCTTTGGACTTGAAGTCCGGTTCGGTGGTATTTGGCACTAGAACAAAGAAAAAGATTTGATTTTTTTGAGGACACAGAGGGGTGCAGGCTTCCCGTGGAAGGTCATTTCAAATGGAAAGTAAGAAGGTGGCTTTGAACTACACGTTTATTATTAAACTCGCGGGATCCTCTCTGAGCATGGTGGTTTTCTGGCAGACGTTTCATGACCCAACTAGGTAACATCATCAGTGCCAGAAGGGAGTGGTGTTTATGGAGAGGAGGAGGAGGAGGAGGAGGAAGAGGAAGAGGAGAACTGTGGAGTCCTTGGTGCTCTCTGAACCTGGTGGTTTTCTTGTAGACATTTCATTACCCAATTAGCTAATATCATCAGTGCTAGAAGGAAGAGGGGTATGGGAGGAGGAGGAGGAGGACCATGGGGCCCTTGGTGCTTTCTGAGCTTGGCTGTTTTCTTACAGACATTTCATTACCCAACTAGGTAACATCATCAGTGCTGGAAGGGAATAGGGTTTGCTCTCATTTTATATACTATGGCTTGCTCTGTCAGTGTTGCTGAGAATGCTCTTCATTGGATTAGGCTGTGCCTTATTGTTAGCTTGTTTATCTGCGTGCTCCTTGCTGTTCTCTGAGCTTCGTTGTTTTCACACACCTGCTTCACTACCAAACTAGATGCCTATGGAGATTCTCAGTCATCCAGGTCATAGTTGGTCCCAAAGTTGTTTTTTTACGAGGCAACTGGACGTCCTTGTTATTCTTTGAAGACGTTTCACTTCTCATCCAAGAAGCTTCTTCAGCTCTGGGTGGAATGGAAGGATTTATACTCCTTGCAGACAGCTGGTCATTTGCCTTCTTTTGGAGAGTCGTTGAGGCCACCTGAAGGTTTATCTATGTCAGGGCTTTTCAACCAGTGGTACGGGTACCACCTGTGGTACATTGGCACCTGGCAGGTGGTACGCGGCCATCCTAGAAAAGTGGTAGCGGGGGAGGGGAATGAGCTGAACCGGTGGCAGCACCGCACAAGCCTGAGCGAGAGATGGCTGGAGCTGCAGGGCTGTCAGGGCTCAACGGAAGCGCCAGGATCAGCGCCAGGCTCCAGCTGGAGCTCGGCGCTGATCCTGGTGCTTCTGCTGAGCCCAGAAGAAGCGCCGATCAGCTGGAACGTTGCAGCATCTCCAGGGTCTTGTGATTTATATTCAGATGCTTGGCAACTGATTCATATTTATGACGGTCACAGTGTCCCAGGGTCATGTGAAGTGACCAAAACCTGCTGCAACCACCCAGCAGACGGGGGGAATAAAAACCAAACACCCCCCACCCCACCCCTGATGCCAATCCTCAACAGAAATGCTCATAATGAAAACCTCAGACAGGAGGAAGAGCGCCGCCAGGCAGGCAGGCAGGTGTCTTGCTCGGCTGTGGCTTGGGGGGCACTTTTTTCAGTGTCATTGTAACTTCGAACAGTCATTAAGCGAACTGTTGTAAGTTGAGGACTACCTGTACTTCATCACTTTTTTCCTTTCTTTTTTGGGTCATCACGTTTTTGACACCTTGCTAGGCGACTGGTGGTACTCGGATGTTGCCGTATCCTAAAAGTGGTACAATGGGTGAAGAGGTTGAAAAGCCCTGATCTATGTCCTCGGAGTCATCTGAGTGGTGCAAATGGGTATAGAGCCTTCTTGGAACTGCTGAAAGGACTGTGTTGTAAACTGGAGATAGATGGTGTCGTATCCCTCCCCCCCTGTTGAGAGAGGGCTGTTCAATTGAAACTTAAAAAGAATGCAAATGACCAGCTGTCTGCAGGGAGTATAAATCCTTGCATTCCCCACCATCCAGTCAGAGCTGAAGAAGCCTTTCTGATGAGAAGCGAAACATCTTCAAAGAAAAACAAAAAAGTCCAGTTGCCTCCTGAAAAAGCATCATCAGTGGATGTTATCTACTTTGATATTGAAGCATCTGCATGAAAACCACCAAGAGCTCCAGGAAGACCACAGTTCAACCCTAACTTTCAAATATTCTCTTCTGTTATTTGTCTGAGTTGGGAGTTCCTTGACTGGGCTGTTGCTTACTTCTTGATTGTTGCAACACTCACAAAAATAAACTAGAAGAGTTTATCTCAAACTAAAACTCTTGAATATTGTTTTTTTTTACCTGCTAGGTTTTTTTCCTACGTACGTTGCTCTGGGCTTTTGGGGAGTGGATGTAACTACCAACCAACCAAGATTGATCTAAAATGTACCTACAGTGCTGTTATTAGTCCTTTGAAATATGCCAATACTAGTCATCTTGTTGAATTAGAACACCATCAAGGTCCCATTCGATAATACGATTCGAAGCAGCTCACTCCAATAAGAAACAAAAGCCACATATTGTCTGAGCTGCAAGCCAGAAAAAATGGGCATTGTTGCGTCAATGAGTATAGCGCTCACCTGGTTGTAAAATGTCCGATTCGGGGAATTCGTCAAAATTGGAGGTGTCATCTATACTTTTGATTTCTATAGTGATCGCCGCTGGCCTTTCTCTAAAACGAAACGCAAACATCACAGAAATCAAGACTGCAACCAACTTTGGGCTCGGCTCAATTGAATCTTGCTTCAAAACCTTTAAAACAAACTGGGCCCTTTTATGACTTGTGGACTTCAGCTCCCACAATTTCTCAGCCAGGCACTCTTCAAAGAACTTCGAGGCATTGTTTACCTTAAAGAATCTTTATTCAAGTAGCATAGCATCGGAAGCCGAAATCTGAATTCCCCTCCCCTGAGCACATAGTATCAAAGCACAATTCCCTCCTCCAATTAACAGTCATAAATCACATTCTCCAATTAGTTTGAAATGCAGGCTTCCCCTCCAGTTCTTCAATCCGCCATTCCTTATCATCTCTTATTTCAATAACCTTGGTTCTCACACTAGTTACAGTATTGTTATGTCTAACTAAACTCTCATGCACATTCCTCCTCCTCCCTCCCTCCTGATTTCTAACCCAATTCTTATAATCTCTTATTTCAAGCTCTGAATTCACACACTAGTACAATATTGTTATGTCTAACTAAGTCCCACCACATTTCGCCTCCTCCCACAGCACCATCTAATTCTAAGAGTAAAGCATAAGAAAGAAAAAGGCTGCATCTTCATATGTTGTCAAAGCAAGAACATCCAATGCTAGCAGCCTTGACATCTTGAAGTCCACAAGTCATAAAAGGGCCGGAGTTTGAAGACCCCTGCTTTAAAACAAACCAGTCACCTCTGACACAAACACAAATGTATCTGCTACTTCCTTTCTAAATGCGTTTAAATGCACTTCCAGGTAGATCCAGGTGAACACACATTACCTGTTAATACCTCCTTAAGGAAACTTTTGTCTTTAGTTCCTTGGGCAATCCCCAAGGAAATACAGGCAGTCCTCGACTTACAACAGTTCATTTAGTGACTGTTCAAAGTTTCAATGACACTGAAAAAGGGACTTACGACCGTTTTTCACACTTAGGACCGTTGCAGCATCCCCAGGGTCATGGGATCAAAATTCAGATGCTTGGCAACTGACTCATATTTATGACGGTCGCAGTGTCCCGGGGTCAGGTGATCCCCTTTTGCGACCTTCTGGCAAGCAAAGTCAACGGGGGAAGCCCGGATTCACTTAACAACCGGATTTCCAACTTAATCAACTCCAATGATTCATTTAACGTGGCAAGAAAGGTCGTAAAAATGGGGCAAATCTCACTTAACAAATGTCTCACTTAGCAACGGAAATTCGGGGCTCAACTATGCTTGTAAGTCGAGGACTATCTGTACACATTGACTCAAGATGTATACAAAATGCTCAGGCCTGTTCCGAAATACCTTGTTGCATCCTGGTGGCGCCTTCTTAACGTGTGCGTGTTTTGAAGGACCTATATGACTACCCTGGTGGTGCAGGGGTTAGAAGGCAGTATTGCAGGCTGACTCTGCCCACTGCTAGCAGTTCGATCCTGATCGATTCAAGGTTGGCTCAGCCTTCCATCTTTCTGAGGTCAGTGAAATGTGGACTCAGATTGTTAGGGGGCGATAGGCTGACTCTGTAAACCAGGGGTCCCCAACCTGCAGGCTGCGGACTAGTAGTGGGCCGTGGTCTGCTGGCTATCGGGCTGCGGGAGAGGCTGGCCAGTGTGCACACGTGTGCTCGCACACCTGCCCACTTGCGCTAGCACTGTGGCCGTGGGGCGCAAAATCTGGACACTGCCATACTGTCGGGTGCAAAAATAGGGCAACGTGCTGCAGGGTGCAAAACTGGGCCTATGCTGCGCCTCGGGACGCAAAAACGGGACACCGCTGTGCCGCGGGGCGCACAAACAGGCAGAAATGGGGCGTTGTGCTGCGCAAGAACAGAGCAGGGCTAGCGAGTATCACGCAAGTGCTAGCCCCACCTGTTTGTATCACACGTGTGGTCGCGGCCCCATACGCGTGCACACAAACATGCGCTCCCGTGTAAAACCCTTCCCCGTCCAATTCCCTCCGGTCCGCCAACCAAGAAAGATTGGTGACCTGTTCTGTTCCCTTCCATTCTAAAGCCCTGGTGGCGCAGGAGTTAGAGTGCAGTATTGCAAGCTAACTCTGCCCACTGCCAGCCGTTCGATCCTGACAGGGCTCAAGGTTGACTCAGCCTTCCATCCTTCTGAGGTCGGTAAAATGAGGACCCAGATTGTTGGGGGCAACATGCTGACTCTGTAAACCGCTTAGAGAGGGCTGTAAAGCACTACGAAGCGGTATATAAGTCTAAGTGCTATTGCTACCAAGCAAATCCAGGAAATATGCAGCTTCTTTAAGGAGATACTGACAAGTTCAAGATATGGCTCCTGCCTGGGATGTAAAGGCCTGTCTATCCCTCAATTTCCCTGAATTCTTCCATTTTTCACTTTTCACCCACTCTACCTGATATGTGCCCAGTCCACCCCTTCAAAAAACGCGTGGCTCTTAATTTCTTCTACTCCGTTGCTGCCGATTCTGTTCTCACCATCAGTGCAAAATCTAGAAGAGGGGGGAAGATTTATTTTTTTTAAAGTTATTACTAAGGTAGTAAATAGTGCAATACATCACATTTTCTAGCCTACAATTTGCTTTGAAAAACAAGTCTGGTACAAAAGTAAGAAAACTGAAGATTTCGGTGTCCAAGAAGACGCCTTTTTGATACCTACAACCAGCCCCAAATTCCAGTTATCACACGTTCTCCGAAAAAGATGCTAATTGTTTATCATCTTTTCCATAAGGGGGTTAAATAGATCTTTTCTGAAGCCTTCTGTAAATGTAGGAAACCTGGGGGACAGGTAGGATTTGATCAAAAAAGCCCAAATAGCTGGATAATCATCAAACAGGAAGTGACGGAATTTCTTTATAAAATCCTCCCCATCTTAAACTGGCATGAATTTTTGCATTCGTCCACTTCCAACATTTACTCCAGAGTCTTCTACTGGTTAGACTTTTAGTTCTTCTCCTTCCTCTTCTTGGTTCTTTCTACCAGTTCTCCCTCCTTCTCCTTTCATCCACCTTTCAAGATGTGGTCTACAGCTTACTTCCTGGACTCTTAGTTCTATCGACGGCTCTTTCCTACAGTTTCAGTTTCTTCTTCTCTCCAATCTGAATCTGAATCTGATGTAGGAGATGAGGGGTCAAATGCATCCATGAGCCCTTTCACACTCACAAGTTCAGCCCACCATGAATTCCTTATCTCCCACTGATTTTCCTTGGCTGTTAGTAGTTCAGATTCTTGTAGAGAGCTTAAGCTTACAATAAATCTTTGAGTTGCCCGGATGTCCTGGTTTCCGTGGCACTTGATACCATGCTTCGTTTCCACTGTTTTCTTGGCCAAAGTGATGTTTAGAAGTCTACACTTACACAGCCCTGCGGTTGCCTTCCACCCCATAACCTCTGACGAGTGATTCTATCATTGTAACGTAAAGCTTCTTCAGCATAATGGCAAAGAAAACTAGATTATCAATTATCAGGCAAACCAAACCATACTTTGACGGCTTTCCTGCACACGTAAGGGAAGGACTTACTTTAAAATTAGGTCCTTTGCCTTTTCTGAAATGGGGACCTCTGGTGGAAACACCAAAGTCTCTTTCCAGTTCATAACTTTTCTATATGTTTCTTGGGGTGTTTCCGAGCAAAAAGGTGGGTATCCTGTAGAATGGAAGACAAGGAAAAGCATTGAATTAGAGCAGGGGTGTGTCAAACTCAATTTCATTGAGGGCCACATCAGCATTGCGGTTGCCTTCGGGGGGGCGGGTGTGTGTGGCCAGGGTGGGTGAGGCCTACTGGGTGGGCGTGGATGGAGTTGGTGTGGTCTACTGGGTGGGCAAGGCCAGCTCGACATCATTCGCGTCAAGGGTGCCTGTAGGGGCCTGGGCAGGAGTGGGACAGATCTGAGGGTCTCTGGCAGAAAGGGGTGGGACCGGGGCAAGCGCCAAGGCATGGTNGATTCAGCCCACCTTTTTAAAAATAAAATAAAATAATAAAATAAAATAAAATAATAAAATAAAATAAAATAAAATAAAATAAAATAAAATAAAATAAAATAAAATAAAATAAAATAAAATAAAATAAAATAATAAAATAAAATAAAAAAAATAAATAAAATAAAATAAAATAATAAAATAATAAAATAAATAAAATAAAATAAAATAATAAAATAAAATAAATAAAATAATAAAATAAATAATAAAATAAAATAAAATAATATAATATAATAAAATAATAAAATAAAATAAAATAAAATAAAATAATAATAAAATAATAATAAAATAAAATAAAATAAAAATCCAGGGTTATGTCTTTCAAAGAAAACAGGGCGGGGTCTTCCATCTATCTATCGTCTAGTTTGATTTTCATGCGTTCTCTGAAAACAGCATTGTTTACCATTGTTTACCGTTCTGGTTTCTGGCAAAAAAAAATACCCATTGGGGGCAATTGATTGCACAGTCCTTCTCCTCCTCCTTCTCCTACCCCCCTTCTCCTTCTCCTCTCTACTCCACAAACCCCCTCTCCCTTCTAGCACTGATGATGTTACCCAGTCGGGTAATGAAAAGTCTGCAAGAAAACCACCAAGCTCAGAGAGCCCCATGGACCCCACAGTCTTCTTCCTTCTCCTCCTCTTCCTCCTGAAACCTGCATTATCCTACTACTGACATATGCAATGACCTAGCTCTCTAGTGAAGTCTAGAATTACTGGGAACGATGGAAGGAAAGAGAAGAAGTCAATGGACTCAGCTTGGAAATTGGGAAAAAGATCCTCTATCTAACAGTCTTATCTATTTGGTCATTAGAACTCGGCACCAACTTGATTGAGTATATCACTCAATCAAATGTCACAAAACCAAATATAATGCTTGTGGGATCCTTGGTGTTCTCTAAGTTCCGCTGTTTTCTTGCAGTTGTTTCATGACCCAACTAGGTAACATCTTCAGTTCTAGAAGTTGCAAGCACCGATCCCTTCTGGCACTGATGATGTTACCTAGTTGGGTAATGAAACGTCTGCAAGAAAACCACCAAGCTCAGAGAGCCCCATGGACCCCACAGTCCTCCTCCTCCTCCTCCTCTTCCCTGCAAATCCCACTCCCTTCTAGCACTGATGATGTTACCTAGTTGGGTAATGAGACGTCTGCAAGAACAAATCCAAGCTCAGAGAGCTACAATGACCCCACAGTCGTCATCCTCCTCCTCCTCCCCTCTACTCCACAATCCCCTCCTCCCCTCTAGTTACCTAATTGGGTCATTGAAATGTCTGCAAGAACAAAACCAAGAGTGCTACAAGGATCCCGTAGTCCTCCTCCTCCTCCCTTCTAGCACTGATGATGTTACCTAGTTGGGTAATGAGACGTCTGCAAGAACAAAACCCAGCTCAGAGAGCTACAACGACCCCACAGTCGTCATCCTCCTCCTCCTCCTCCCCTCTACTCCACAATCCCCTCCTCCCCTCTAGTTACCTAATTGGGTCATTGATATGTCTGCAAGAACAAAACCAAGAGTGCTACAAGGATCCCGTAGTCCTCCTCCTCCTCCTCCCTTCTAGCACTGATGATGTTACCTAGTTGGGTCATGAGATGTCCGCAAGAACAAAACCCAGCTCAGAGAGCTACAAGGAGGACCTGAAGACCACCTGACTTCCTCGGGACCTTTTGACATGGAAGGACTTTGCAGAGCTCAACAGGGTCTCCGGGACAGCACTCACCAACTGCCGCCTGTTCTTCTTCCACGTTTCTGCTTTTCTCTTGGAGTTCATATTCTGAAAGGCTGAATTCACGAAACAGAGCTAGGTGAATGAATGCTTTGCATTTTTAACAGCATCACAAAAAATTCAGCCTGCTTATGGGATTCTAATGCAGGATACGAAGGGGCGCATCGGGTAGGGCAGGAATGAATGACAGGGCCTTTTCTCGGGCAAACATTTTAAAAAAAAAGACCTAAAAAGCTATTTTAACCGTTTCTTTCCCTCCCTAAATGGGTCATCGACATAGAATTGCAATGCATTAAAAGAGCCGTTCTGCTCCAAAGACTTTGGAGACACGAAATCGGAAACGGTACCTCTTACAACTTCCCTGTTGCCTTGCAGATATTTCATTACCACACTAGGTGACGTCATCAGCGCTAGATCTTTTAGAGCATTGATAAGGTGGTGTGATTTGGTAATGAAATGTTTGCGAGGAAACCACCAAGCTCGGAGAGCGTCATGGACCCCACAGTCCTCCTCCTTCCAGCACTGATAATGTTACCTAGTTGGGTAATGAAACGTCTGCAAGAAAACAGCCAAGCTCAGAGAGCGTCAAAGACCCCACAGGCCTCCTCCTCCTCCTCCTCCTCCTCCTCCTCCTTCTCACATACCCTTCTCCCTTCCAGCACTGATAATGTTACCTAGTGGGGTAATGAAACGTCTGCAAGAAAACAGGCAACCTCAGAGAGCACCAAGGACCCCACAGGCCGCCTCCTCCTCCTCCTCCTCCTCCTCCTCCTCCTCCTCCTCCTCACATACTCTTCTCCCTTCTAGCACTGATTATGTTACCTAGTTGGGTAATGAAACGTCTGCAAGATAACTGCCAAGCTCAGAGAGCACCAAGGACCCCACAGTCCTCCTCCTCCTCCTCTTCCTCCCATACCCCTCTCCCTTCTAGCACTGATGATGTTACCCAGGGCTTTTTTTCAGCCGGAACGCGGCGGAACCGCGTTCCGGCACCTTTTTCCGGGCCGGCTGCACCGGAAATAGCCCCTCCCACACCGGAAATAGCCCCTCCCAAATTTTACTTGCATTCCTGTTCTCTAAAGGGGCGGTCCTAGGGTTTGATGAGGGCGTGGCCAGGTTTGAGTTCCGCCACCTTTTCTCCGAGA